AGGAGACTCTGTAACAGGAGGCTGAGCGGGAAGAGGCAGGTCTCCCGGGTTATAGCTGACCCCTCCAGTCCCTGCCACGTCTCTCTGCTACAGGGTCCCCTGTGGCTACTCCCTGGGAGCTGGGGTTATAGAGGAAGATGTAGCTTTGGTCATTTCTGGGCATTGGTGAGAGGGTGGGTCTGAGCAGGAGCTTGTGGGAGAGAGGACTCGGGGTCCTTAGAGTAAGGCTGAAGTTGTCCTAGGACCCCCCCCCCCACTGCCGAGCCTAAGTTAGGGTGCCTCAGCCCCCAGGGGAGAGAGGCGGGGAGGCCAGGCCCTAAAGTCTGTCTGTCGGGCCAACAGGTGTGCCCCGAGCAAGTGCACGTCCTTCACCATCAGCAGCTCCCCGAGGATCTTGTTGAACCTCTCCCACCTGGTCCCCGCGGTAACCAACAAGGAGGGGGCCAGCACCCGGCTGCTTCTGTGTGAGCCCATGGATGTGCTGGTGATGGTGAAGTTCCCCAGCTCTGACATCAGCAAGGAGGACAAGGTAGGCCCGGGAGCGAGGCAGGGGTTGGGGGAGGGGGCAGCTAACGCCACGGGGTCTCCCTCCTCACAGCAGGCGTTGCCCGAGTCTGTGAAAAGTTGGGCGCCAAGTGTTTTGCATGTCTGATCTTCTTCGAGGCTCACAACAAACCTGTGAGCTGGGCACCCCAGGACCCCATTGTACGGATAAAGAGACCGGGGCCCTGAGAGGCAGTGCCCTGCCCAAGCCGGTAACCAGCAGAACCGGGATTCAAGCTCAGACAGGCCTGTTTCCGTGTGTGCTTCTGACCACCACGCTGGGCCAGCGTCCAAACCGGCTGCTTTTAAAAATCTGCCTTAAAAGGTTTCGGCAGCAGAACGCCCATGCGCTTTTTGGCTAAGGCTAGTCTCTCCGGAGGCGGAGATTCTAATGAAAACTAAGAGCTAATGCGATGCTATGTGCTAGGTATCTTTCCCCCATTTCCATCCGAGGAAACAGAGGCACAGAGGGACCTATCTGACCTTCAGTGGCGTACCTAGAGTGGGGGGGGGGGGGGGGCTGGTCCTGGATTCAAGCCAAGTCTGTGCTCTCTCTCCTGGGCAAGTGTCTCTCTAACGGGGCACCTGTGGCAGGTGGGTTGACGTCCACCTGGTAGGACAGGCCCTGAGGCTCATCTGCGTGAGGCTCTGGTGGTGGTTCCTGGAGGGAGCTGGTCCCTCGTGCAGAGTAATTAGAAGCGCCAGGGACTCTAACGCTCAACACCTGAGCCACAGCCCCCACCAATTAAGTCAACCTCGGGGTAGCTCACGGCTCTCCAGGTGGCTCCACTGAGATGCTGAGGGTGAGAGGCACATGAGGCACGTTCAGGGCTCGCCGCCTACCAGCAGAGCCTGCTGGCGTGGCCCGCTGGGAGGGTTCGGCTGGGATGGCAGGTGGGTGGTACATACCCATGCGACACTGTGCCCTGGGCAGACAGTTCCCGAGGGGCAGGGAGTACAATTAGACGAGCATTCGAGTCTCCCAGGAGAGAACTGAGGCTGTGATGTGTCCCCACGGAGCCCAGGTGGCTGGGAGGCATTCTCTGCCCAGGGCTCAGCCTCCAGCGCTGTCAGAAGGGGCGGCGGCATGAGAAGCTTGACCGTGGAGGACACGAGCTCCCACTGAGGAGGTCACGGGCATGTAGGTGTGGCTGAGCTCATGTCTGGTTCTCAGGTTCGTGGTGAAGCCTGGTCAAGGCCAGTGGCTGAAGGGCGGGCCTCTGTCTGCAGGAAAGACTGAGTTCCAACTCCAGTCCCCGCCCTGGTGTCCCACTTCCTTCTGAGCGAGTGGCTTAACCTACAGGAGGCCCCACTGCCCGCCTCATGGGGTGACAGGTGAACCCCAGGAGGGAGGTAGAGTGAGGAGGATGTCGTTTTAAATATATTTTATTGATTTTTTTTACAGAGAGGGAGATGGATAGAGAGTTAGAAGCATCGATGAGAGAGAAACATTGATCAGCTGCCTCCTGCACACTCCCTACTGGGGATGTGCCCGCAACCAAGGTACATGCCCTTGACCGGAATCGAACCTGGGACCCTTCAGTCCGCAGGCCGACGCTCTATCCGCTGAGCCAAACCGGTTAGGGCAGGGAGAATGTTGTTTTAAAGCGTGACCTCCAGAGCCAGTGGCCTGGATCTTCAGTCCTGTGTGACCCCCCTTCTTGGATGAAGGTCAAGGGCAAGTCCTGGGTCCCTCTGCCCTCGGGGTAGAGCCCACCTGGAGGGGTGGTTAGAAGGCCCGAGCGTGCAAGTCCTTGGAGTGGTCACGGCATGTTGAACGGGTTGCTCTTCACCTACTGAGTTCCAGCACAGTAGGCCTGTCCCGCTCACAGCCAGAGGTCAGATGTGAGGCCAAGGTCAAGGGGCTGGATCGGGTGCGTGGCCCAGGCCCCGCTCCTGCCTTCAGTGCTCCCACGGGTTCTGGATGCTGTCTCCACAGGTTTCGGTCTCGTACTATCAGCCAGATGTGAAGGTCCCGGTGGCCACCGCTGAGCTCTTCCTCACTGGCATCGGTGAGTGGGGTTCCCACCCCTGGAGAGGAGGGGTGGGGGCGGCAGAGGCCAGGGAAGGGGCTGTCCCAGGAATGAGATGCCTTCCATGGGCCCTCGATGGGTGCACACGACATGCCCACGCGCACTCCCTCCTCGAGCTCAGCCACTTCTCTCCACCCCCCTCACTGTGACCTAAGTCTCAGGACGGACGCAGTCTGTCCCCGTGTTCCTGTCATCGACCCACCTACCCGTGTCTGGTGCCAACACTCACCGCCTCTGGCACAACGGATGAAGTGTCCGGTTCAAAGTTAACTTGATCACACCAGACCCTTTCCCCGCTCGCTCCTATCGAAGAACATTCCTTCCTAATTCTTAACTGATGTAGGCAGCCACCACCTCTCCCCTCTTCTGGGTCAGTCCAGCACAAGCTATAATGGCTATTCTCTTAAAGATAAGCTGTACCGTTTAGTCTCTTCAATCCAATTCTACAGGTGTCCCCCCCCCCCAAAATGTATGTACACACTTTGAGTAATGATAAAGGCAATGTTTATTAAAAATATTTTTCATTTTCAAAATTGAGCTATCAGCTGTTAAAGTGTATGTACATTTGGGGGGACACCCTCTATATTATATTCAAACTCACTCTCCACCTCTCTGCTCCTGTGGAGCCATCTCTGCATCCTCAACTTCTCCCTCCCTCTCGAACCTCCCCCAATCAGACACCCCTCACACATGCACTGCCCTTATTGAGGATCCTAACTTTTACTCCACTGAGGCCAGTGGTCGCCTCGATCTTCCTCTCCCTTGAACTCTGTCAGCGTTTAATACAACTGGTTATCTTTGTTTTGTTTTTTAAAATTAAATCTTTATTGTTCAGATTATTACATTGGTTCCTCTTTTTGCCCACCATAACTCCCCTCCACCCAGTTCCCACCCACCCTCTGCCCTCACTCCCCACCCACTGTCCTCATCCATAGGTGCACGGTTATTGTCCAATCTCTTCCCGCACCCCCCACACCCCTTTCCCCCCCAAGAATAGTCCATTCCCTTTCTATGTCCCTGATTCTATTATAATCACCAGTTCATTCTGTACATCAGATTATTTATTCACTTGATTCTTAGATTCACTTGTTGATGTGTATTTGTTGTTCATAATTTGTATCTTTACCTTTTTCTTCTTCTTCCTCTTCTTAAAGGATACCTTTCAGCATTTCATATAATACTGGTTTGGTGGTGATGAACTCCTTTAGCTTTTCCTTATCTGTGAAGCTCTTAATCTGACCTTCAATTCTGAATGATGGCTTTGCTGGGTAAAGTAATCTTGGTTGTAGGTTCTTGGTATTCATCACTTTGAATATTTCTTGCCACTCCCTTCTGGCCTGCAAAGTTTCTGTTGAGAAATCAGCTGACAGTCATATGGGTATTCCCTTGTAGGTAATTGATTTTCTTTCTCTTGCTGCTTTTAGGATTCTCTCTTTGTCTTTTGCTCTTGGCGTTTTAATTATGATGTGTCTTGGTGTGGTCCTCTTTGGATTCCTTTTGTTTGGGGTTCTATGCGCTTCCTGGACTTGAAAGTCTATTTCTTTCACCAGGTAGGGGAAGTTTTCTGTCATTATTTCTTCAAATAGGTTTTCAATATCTTGCTCTCTCTCATCTTCTGGCACCCCTATAATTCGAATGTTGGTACGCTTGAAGCTGTCCCAGAGGCTCCTTACACTATCTTCGTATTTTTGGATTCTTTTTTCATTTTGCTTTTCCTGTTGGGTGTTTTTTGCTTCTTCGTATTTCAAATCTTTGACTTGAATCTTGCGATCCTCTGGTCTGCTGTTGGGAGTCTGTATAATCTTTATTTCAGTCAGTGAATGCTTAATTTCTAGTTGGTCCTTTATCACAACATCAAGGGTCTCACCAGATTTCTTGAGGATCTCACTACATTTATTGGCGGTTTCTAGAAAATTCTTGAAAAACCTAAAAAGTGTGGTTTTGAACTCTATATCCAGCAGTTTGCTTTCCTCCAATTCTGTCATTTGTGTCCTGTTTCTTTGTCTCTGCATTTTTTATGCTTCGCTGTGTCGATAGAGTGGCTTTCTGTGCTAAGTGTCCCAGTTACCTGAGGTAGACACTCTTGGTGCACCCCCTTGTGGGCTTTGTGCACAGTCTTGTTGTAATTAAGCCTTGATTGTTGTAGGTAAAACTGGGAGGATTTGACCTCCAGGCCAATTGGCTGTGAGAATCAGCTGTGTCTAAGGCGGGAGATCTTCTGTGCTGAAGACACCCTTATGGGGCTAGGCTTGCTTCAGTGGAGCTTTGGTGCTCACTGAGTCTGCCCCCTGAGTGTGTCCCTTATAGATCTGAGGAGTTGTAATTGGGAAAGTCCCACTCTGACCACTGAGTACACTGGTTCTTGGATCTAAGGAGGTGCTAATCTAGCCTCTGCCTGCGGCTACCCAGCAGAAGCCAGCTGTAAAGCAATGCAAGTTGCCCTGGGGCCTTGGGGCAGCTGCAGTTTGTTAAGTTATTTTCAGATTACAAAGGGCCAGGCCTTTCACATGCAAAAGCCTCCTTGCACAGCTTGGGGGGCGGGGGGGAGGCGGGGTCCCAGGGAATCAACAGGGCGTGCGGAGCTAGCAGTATGGCTGCTCTCAGTCCTGCCTTCAGAGGTCCTGGCTATCGCTGCAAGTGCCTCAGAGAAAAAGCTGCCCTCGAGGTCCGACCGATGCCAGACAGTCCCCTTTCTCCCGTATGAGCCTGGGTCCCCAGAGACTCACCCAGAACTGGAGCTCAGAGCCTGAGACTCCCTCCTGATTGAAAAAGACAATCGTGTCCTCAGCTGCCAGCTTTCTCTGCATGCACCTCCGCACCTTTGTATTTTACTTCGGCACTGCACCTCCTCTGAATCTCGGTATGCTTTTCTCTTCTAGTTGTAGAAATTCCACTCAGCCAGCGTTCCTGTGGTTCTGGATGATGTCCATTATGTCTTTTAGTTGTATTTTTGAAGTGGTTGTGCGAGGCAGCAATCTCCGGTGTTTACCTATGCCACCATCTTGGTTTCTCCCAACTGGTTATCTTTGGATGTTCCCTTTGAAACACTCCAGGGACCCTGCCCTCAGTTTCCCTGCTACTAGCGGCTGTTCCTTCTCCGATGCTTTGCTGGATCCTCCTGGAGCCCTGCAGTGCCTCGGGGCTCGGGCAGCTTGTCACATGGCTCTACAGTCAGACAACTCCCCAAACTCTAGTTGAGCGTCTCCCATAAACTTGGCTTGGCTATCTGCTGACCCAGCACAACTTCTTGAGTGTCTAACCAACACTGTGAACGTAGTATATCCCAAACTGGACAGATCTCTCTACCCCAAGCACCTATTTTAAATTCCCTTCCTCATCACCGTAGATAGTCAATCCTTTAGGCCAGTGGTCGGCAAACTCAGTCAACAGAGCCAAATATCAACAGTACAACGATTGACATTTCTTTTGAGAGCCACATTTTTTAAACTATATAGGTAGGTACATTGTTATTAAGTTAATTAGGGTACTCCTAAGGCTTAGGAAGAGCCACACTCAAGGGGCCGAAGAGCCGCATGTGGCTTGCGAGCCGCAGTTTGCCGACCACGGCTTTAGGCTGATCCGACCAAGCACCTTGGTGCCACCCTTATTCTCCTTGTGGCCTGTGTTGATCCGAGAATCTTGTGCTAAACCTTAAGTTTAGCTGGAATCCAGCTACTCGCCACGTGCAATGCCCTCAGCCTGGTCTGAGCCGCTGTCCTCTCTTGCCTGTGTCACTGTGCAGGCCCCCCAGTGGGGTTCCCTGCTCCGTCCTTGCCATTTGGCAGGTCCAGTCTTAGCTCAGCCCCCCGAGCAGCTCACCTGTGGCAGGATATCAGCTGTCTCCCTGGATCTGAGCCCCCCACTGCTTCCATGGCCTTGGAAGAAAGCCAGTGTCTCCCTCCTCCCCTCCCCCCTGCGCCCCCCCTTACCGTTACCCACAGAGCTAGCCCACAGGACCTCTAACCTGCACCCTATCTCTCTTCCTCTCGCTCACTCTGCCCTGGCACGTGTGTGTCTTTGACCCTTGACCTTGCCACCTTGCACTTCCTATGCGATTTGCTTTTCCTCCCGATATTAACACGGATCGCTTTCTGGCCTCCTTCGGGGCTCTGGTCACATTTCCACTTGGAAGATTTCTCTGATCATTTAAAACAGACAACCCGCTCCATCCCCTTCCTCCTTCCCATGGCACTTTTACCATCGGACAGATATGTGTTGCTTATGTCTTCTCCCCCTTCCGCTTGTGGGTGTGCACACACAGCTTTACACTTGAAGGAGAAAGGGCCCGTCTGGCATGCAGCTGTGGCCCTAGAACCTAGAAGGGTCCCTGGTTCCTGGCTGGCATCGGGGCCTAAGCTCAGTGCCCGGTGCACAGGGCAGCCAACGTCCGTTCCCATGGCCCTGACATTCCGGTTGGGAAACAGCATGTCGGATGCCAAAAGCTGCGACTGGAAAAGCCGTACGGTGGTCGCTTAGTGGTGGGGAGGGGGAGAACGTGAACCGTAGATGGCAGGAAGGGCCTCTACGGTGATACCTGGGCGGAGCCCGGGTCCTTAAGCGCTAAAGGGGCTTGCGGTGGCCAGGTATTGAGCCCTTCCGATGTCTTAGAGCGCCAGGAGCCTTCCAGAAGGCTGGGGAGGCGAGCCTTCCAGGTAGGGGTCCCCTGGGGATCGGTCACCAGGCACGCAGTGGCATCGTGACCACAGTGGACTTGTTTCGAGTTCCCAAGAGGCTGGGGGAGACATGGAACTACTTGGGCCTTTCTAGGCTTCCTCACAAGAAGCGGGGAACTTTCTCTGCTAAACCGAGCGCACCCCAAAGGCCCTGCTGCCGGCCTTGGGCAGCCCCGGGGGCTTAGCCACGGCTCTGAGGCTGCACCCAGCAGTCCAAGGCCGACCTTTCCCTCCCGTTGCAGAGGTCTCCCTGGACGTGGACATTTACCGCAGCGGGCAAGTGCAGGTGGCGAGTGACAAATGGGCTAAGGTGAGGCAGCGGGGGCGGGTGCAGACCGGGGCCCCGGAGCCGGACCCAGCAGCAACCTTGCTATGTGACCTTCCTCATGTCTGTCGAAGTGCTGCAACATAGATCGGAGCTGATAAAGCCCATTTCTAGCTTTTCACAAAACAAGAACGCCTGGCAACACTGGGTTGACATCCACGCCTGGTGGTGTAGCCAGCAAGAGCAGGGGGTTAGCGGTCCCCATCAGATGGGACGCGTCTCCTCCACTGGTCCTCAGTCCCCACTTCCCCTGACCCCAGGCAGAAAGCTGGTGGCCCATCCCTGGACAGTGTTCCCTTGCTCTTGGTCCACGGACCTCGGGCTGTAAGACACTTGAGCTGGCAGATTCTGACCTAGAGGTTCCCATCACCCTGAAGAACAACTTGGCTCTGCCCCCGATGAGGGGGGAGGGGGGAGGCATCTGGGAAGCAGAGGATTCACCTGACATCTTCCTGAGCCAACATTCCTATCGTCTTTGCAGAAAAACTGGGCCTGGGGCCCCAGTGGCTGGGGAGCCATCCTGCTGGTGAACTGCACCCCGGATGGCAAGGCCCAGGACGGAGACAAGACCAAGGTGTTCTTGCCTGAGGGTAAGAAAGAACCACCCCGACCAGGGATGCTGCCACCTTCCCTCCTGGGGCTCTCTGCCTTGCCCCAGCTTCATGGCCCCGCCCCTCAGCCAACCCAGATTCCAGGCCCAGGTCCCTGATCCGGGCCAATCAAGTCTCTTATCAATGGCTTGAAGCTTGTAAGTAGGAAGGAGGAGGCCCCACGGCCCAATGGGGAGAGCATGGGCTCTGATGTCCTGTAACACACAGTTACTTCCTGGCTAGGAACTTGAGCATGTTGACGTCCCTGACCTTGTTTTGCCATCTGTAAAATGGGCGTGACACCGATGCCTTAACAGTGGTCCTCAACCTTCCGGCCCTTTAAATACAGGTCCTCATGTTGTGACCCAACCATAAAATTATTTTTGTTGCTACTTCAGAACTGTAATGTTGCTACTGTTATGAATCGTAATGGAAATATCTGATATGCAGGATAGTCTTAGGAGACCCCTGTGAAAGGGTCATTTGACCGCCAAAGGGGTCGCGACCCACAGGTTGAGAACCGCTGAGTTACAAGGTGGACTAGAAGACTAAATGAAGACTCAAAGGGGCATGTAAGACTCTTCTAAAAGCCCTCTGAGTCCGGGGCAGGAACCCTGACAGTCTCAGGCAAAAGCAGTCTCGGTCTGGTCCCAAGGTGGGGTCGGGACCTAGGTTCTAGGTCTTAGCCGTTTACACCAAGGCTGGAGGGGAACCCCTCGCTGAGCTGACCACGCCAGGCCTCGTTCTAGGTGCCTGTGGACTGCCCCATGGGGTCAGGGCTATCCTCGCTCAAAGTGGGCCCAAGGATCGCAAGCTTCCTGTGGCCTCCCGGGGAGCGAGACGTAACACAGGCCTGGGCGGCCTGGGCCAGCACAGGGGGTGGAGGTCCCAGCACTCCAATACACAAGCCCCGGTCCCCGAAGTGCTGGCCTCCAGACACCCCGAACCTGGCCTTGTCTCTTGCCCAGAAATAAACAATCTGTCCCCGATGATGCTAAGCGTCCAGGGGCCCACCTGCTTCTTAAAGACTTGCCGGCTGGTTCTCTACACCTCCAAGGAAGAGGCCAAGAAGGCGAGAGTCTATCGGCCCCAAGGTGAGTGCTTTGTACCAGCTCTGCCTCCTCCCTCACCTCCAGGTGAGCTGTGGCTACACCCCCCACGCCGCAGGGTCCGCTCAGACCCTGTGCAGGGGAACCTGCTGGGGTCCTAGAGGCGCAGGCCAGGGTCTGTTGTGGCCAGACCTGTATGCCTAGGATTGTCTGGCTGCCACAGCCACTGAACTGTCTACACACGTGGGTAAGGCCTTGCACCCCGGGGCCTCTCTCCCCAGTGTGGGTGCCTGTCCTGCAGGGTTTTCCTGTCTGGAGGAGGCGACATGCACAATAGCTAGAACGAGAGTGATTGCCTATGCAGATTAGGTAACGGCTCCTCCCCGTTTCTCCTGCCAGAGGAACGGCCTGCATTTCGGACATTTCTGAACCAGGACCCCACTAGATTGGGCTCCAGAATGCAGAGGCCAGGAAGCCGGGGGCAGCGATGCTGGCATGTCCGTCTCGGGCACCACATCGCACATTGCCACCTTCAGCCCTTATCAATCTGGCAGGCAGGCGGCCTGCCCCTGTTCTAGAAAGTGGATCCATGTTTAGCTTCAGCCGGGCCTTTGTTGAACCTGTGGTTTATAATGGACCAGCCTGCCCTAGCTGGTTTGGCTCAGTGGGTAGAGCGTCAGCCTGCGGACTGAAAGGTCCTGGGTTTGATTCCAGTCAAGGGCACATGCCCGGATTGCAGGTTCAATCCCCAGTAGGGGGGGTGCAAGAGGCAGTCGATCAATGATTCTCTCTCATCATTGATGTTTCTCTCTCTCCCTCTCCCTTCCTCTCTGAAATCAATAAAAAACTATCTACACTAATAAAAGAGAAACATGGTAATTAGCGTACGACCGCTACCCTTTTCATTGGCTAATCAGTGAGTATATGCAAATTAACTGACAACCAAGATGGCGGCTAATTTGCATATGTCGGCTCCAAGCCACAGACTGAGGCTTTAGGCCTGGGTAAGGGAGGAGCCAGCCAGCGATCATTGAGCCAGCGATGGTTGATGGCGGCGGAGGTGGGGAACCAGGGCGGAGCCGGCGGCGGCGGCGGTGGGAGCTGGGGGTGCCCGGGCCCAGGCCTAAAACCTCGGCCTGAGGCTTTAGGCCTGGGTCAGGGAGGAGCCAGCCAGGGATCGTTGATGGCTGCGGTGGCGGGGACCTGGGGGTGCCCTGGCCCAGGCCTAATGCCTCGGCCAGAGGCTTTAGGCCTGGGCCGGGGAGGAGCTAGCCAGTGATCCTTGATGGTGGTGGTGGCCGGAACCGGGGCGCAGCCAGCCAGCGATCCTTGATGGCCACGGTGGCTTGCAGCTGAGGGTGCCCTGGCCCAGGGCTAATGACTCGCCAGAGGCGTTAGGCCTGGGCAGGGGCCAAACCAGCAATTGGTGTGAACTACAGAGGAAACACTTTTCTGACTGCTGATTGGTTAAGCTCCCTGTATGCCACTGGTAATATTCTTAGTAACTTGGGTAATAAGAGTCCAAAAAGTGATCTAGGGTTTTTTTTTACCACACTCCTGGAGAAAAAAATGAAGGTCTGCTGCTGGAGGGTTAAGAAATGTCATATCCTGTCCTAGCCAGTTTGGCTCAGTGGATAATGCCTCGGCCTGCCCAATGCAGATTCTGGGTTTAATTCTGACCAAGGGCATGTACCTAGGTTGCAGGTTCCTCCCTGGCTCCAGGGAGGAACCAATTAAAGTGTTCCTCTCACTTTGATGTTTCTCTCTGTCTTTCCCTTTCTCTTCCACATTCTCTAAAAATCAATGGAAACATATCCCCAGGTGAGGATAAAGAAAGAAAGAAATGTCATATCCTATGAAAGACACTTCTTGAAAATGCCTAAAGAAAGTTGTCATTTTTTCATGGTAAAAGGACTGGAGTCCGTGTTGATGAAAACACCTTGGTGGCTGCGGTGACTGGCAGTGGCTGCAGCAGCGGGGTGATGGGGCTGGCGCCTTCCCCTGATCAGCCCGGTCGCCTCCCACAAAGGGAGGCCAGACTGTGGCTTAGGCCCGCTCCCCAAGGGGAGCAGGGAGCAGGTAGTAGGACATCCCCTAGGGCTCCCAGTATGTGATAGGGGGCAAGCTGGGCTGAGAGAACCCCCTCCCCAGTGCACAAATTTTTGTGCACCGGGCCCCTAGTATATATATAAAAGATATAATGGACAAGCCTGTGTCCAGCGTGGGAACAGGGCCAGCTTGTGAGGCGAGGGCCCGAAGGGCCTTCTAGGTAAGATGACCATGTCGTGCTTGGGTCATAGGCTTCCTGCCACTTCTTCTCCCTCCTTATCCGGATATGGGTATGATAATCATAGCACCTGCCTCTCGGGGGTGAGGAGGCCAATGAGCCGGTGAGCCTTCCCCACAGTTCCTGGCACATAGTAAGTCCGCAATGAAACCTTAGCTTTGTTTTAAAACCAGCAACTGGGTCAGAAGGTCACGTGCAGAAGAACTGAGAGGGCTGGTAAGGGGCTTGTAGCAGGTGAACTTGGGACCCTCTCGCCCCTGCTACATAGCGAAGCATCTTAGGGGGGAGCAGCTATGGGGAGCCCAGGGCCCTGGAGTGGCTGAAGGTGCTGGGTCTGCAGCAACTCTAGGGGCGGCCAGCTGTGACCCAGTCTATGAAGCTGGGAACGCCCTTCCCTTGCCCCCTGCACAGTCACACAGTTGGAACCCCTGCAGTGAATCCAAAGGGCTGTGCCTCCGGGCTGGGGAGCTGTGGGGGTCCTGGTGGAACTCGCCTTGTTCAGTCTGACGCCTCGAGGCCTGGTTCGGGGCCAGCAGAGAAGCCTCTGGAAGACTAGAAGCAGGAGGCCCCAGGAGCATGCCCAGCTGGCCCAGCTTCTACCCGGCCAGCGGCAGCAGAAGCGAGCTGTGAGGGAGGAGCCGGGACCCTGGGCCAGCAGGTGAGGTGACAGCTGGTCTGTCCATCCTCTCCCTCCTCGCAGACCACTCGGACACCTTCACCTTCGACTTGGTGCTGGGGCCTGGCTGCCACACCTACACCTTTCCCCCCCTGGAGAGCTCCCTGAAGGAGACCTTCTACGTGGAAGCCACGGAGTTCCCATCCGCCAGCTTCTCCGGCCTGATTTCCTACTCGGTCGCCCTGGTGGAAGAGTCTGAAAACACGGTAAGTCCCCGAGGAGGCCACCACCTTTGCAGCAGGGACTGTGTGGGGAGGGGCAGTGTCCGCTGCGGGGAGAGGGCAGAAGGCGTGGGGGGTGGAGCTGGAGTCTCCTGCCCTCTTGGAGGAAAGACAGCACAGGTGAGTGCCTGCAGGTGGCCGCACTGAGCAGCTGGAGGCCGGGGGCGGGAGATGTGGACCCAGGTCACCAATAGGACCCTGTCTCCTATAGCAGTTAATTCCAGAGACCCTGATGCACAAGGACATGGTCGTGTTCAGGGTGGCTCCTTGCATCTTCACCCCGAGCACCCAGATGCCTCTAGAGATCTACCTGTGCAGGTGAGAACCCCTCTGGCTGCCTGTGCCAGGCCACTTCCTCCCCAGCACCCCCTTTTATCTGTCTGTGGGCGGTTGAGTAGAGGACTAGACTTCTCCCCAGGAAAGTGAAGTCCTTCCCTTTGAGCTGCCTGGTCCCCGAGGGTCCTCAAAGGGGTCTGAGCACTTACAGTGCGAGGGATGGAGCAGTGAGCGGTCCCTCCCAGGTGCTAGGGGAGGCCGACAAGTAAACGGCATTACTTCAGGGAGCACTGAGCGCCCTACCGCGAGGTAAGAGGAAGGAATGGCAAGGATGAGAGTGTTCTGGGGACAGCAAGGAGGCCTGCAGAGCTGGGAGAAGGCAGGGGACAGGAGGATGGAGGGAAGGAGGGGGACTAGGTCAAGGCCAGCAGGGCCCCGCGGCCCCTGTGTATCGGGGCATGGCCTTGGGGCTGTAACAGACCCCAAGTACAATGATTTAAAGTCCGCCAGTGCTGAGGGCCTTTCTAGGTTGACACCTGGGGAAGCGCCCATGGTGACTGGTCTGTTTTCGGGGCTTCAGTTGTGGGGAAGCAGGAACACAGAACCAGGTCTCCCAGGGTTGGAGGTTTGCCAGGCAAATAAGCCCAGGTGGGTGGTGGGCCAGGGTATCATTATGACGCATCCTAGACTCGGAGCGGGGAGGAAGGAAGGTGAAGGGACAGAGTGATGGGAACAAGAGCAGTCCAGGGCCAGAGGTCCCCGTGAGGTCAAGCCTCTGGCCTGGTGACTGGACAGGGCGAGCAGGGGAGAGGGCGTGGATGGGACTGGACATTAGATCAAGATCTCGGGCTAGAAGGCTGAGGTAGGGTCGGTAATGAGATCTGTCAAGGACCCAGAGAGGCCACGATGGCCCGGAGGCAGCAACGCGTGGCGAGGAGGACCACAGCCTCCGCCAGGCCCGTGGGGCATAAAGGAAAAATAGCTCTTCCGAGGGGGGCTGCTGGGGAGCAGGGTCCACAGAGGAACGGCAGGTTTCAGAATGAGAACGGAAAAGACAGGAGCTCGAGGAGTGTTGCTGATAACACATGACAGACTCCAGCTCTTCCATCTTTGTCTTTTGTACCTGAAGACACGTTGTTCAGCCCTGGCCAGTGTTTCTCAGTGGTTAGAGCATTTTCCCACACACTAAAGAGTCTTGGGTTCTATTCCTGGCCTCAGATGTAGAACCAGGTCACCAACCAATCAGTGTGCCTCTCTCACATCAATGTTTCTCTCTCTCCCCCCTCCCCTCCCTTTCACTTTTTCTCTAAAAAAGCAATGGAAAAAAACATCATGTGAGGATTAACAAAAGAAAATGAAAAAGACATGTTGTTCACTCACAGGAGGCATCAGCTGAAACCCTGGTCTTCTGGGAGTCCCCATAGTGGTGGGATTCAGGCACGGCTTGATCCAGCTTAGCCACGGATGGCTGTGACACTGGGGCTACCCGTCCTTACCCAGCACACATCCTCAAGGCCGCCCTAGACCTCGTCAGGCTGATCAGCTCCTGTAGCCTCGTAGACCCCAGAAACGGCGTTTTTGGAACAATAACATAGAATGGGGATGCAAGTTTTATACCCAGAACCAAGCTAGAACCCCCGTTCTGACACTTTCCGATAGTGTGACCTTGCTGGCATTCAACTCGGGATCTGTTTATAAAACGGGCGATCTTCTTAATCTCAAAGATCATTGTTTATCTCCATAGGAACAAACATACATTGTGGACAGGATAACTGTGCTAAGATCCTAGGATTTAAGGCCCACCCCCTGCTACCCGTACAAACATGACAACCTCATTGGCCATCTCAAGGGGACACTTCGCTTCTTGACTTCTCGGGGTGGAAATACAGCCCCCTGGGGAGAGGAGTCGGCCCTCTGGGTAGGCTCAGGCAGGAGAGCCTGGGGCGGCTCCCCAGCTGCCTGAGGCAGGGGTGGAAGGTAATGTGGATGTGGCTGCGGATGAGGACAGAGCCTAGGCCACCAGAGCGGGAACAGATGCTAACAGTTCTGGACCAGACCCCGCCATGAGCTGGGCCCAGTGCTCTGAGCTACCAGCCCGTGTCCCTACGCTTGGGGGACAGCACTCTCCATATCTCGCGGGCAGGGACATAATCTCTCCTGACCGCAAGGAGGTGCCCCCTTCCCTGGGACAGCAAGGTATTGCCCACGGGGGAGCCCCAAGGCCTTCCCAGCGCCTGCTTCTCTCCCCCGGCAGAGAGCTGCAGGTGCAAGGTTTTGTGAAGACGGTGACCGAGCTCAGCGAGAAGAGTAAGAGCCAGGTGGCGTCTGTCTACGAGGACCCCAACCGCCTGGGCAGGTGGCTCCAGGTAACGCCCCACCTGGGGAGACCTGTCGGTGGGGGGAGGGCAGGGGAGATTCCGACTGTAGCCCACACAACGGGCATCTCAGGCTTCTGGTCAACCTTCCCAGCGAAGCTCAGCCTAACTAGAGGTGCCTCTGCTTTTAGGACTTCAGTGGATGGAGGCTCAGGTGAAATGACTTAGCCCATGTCATAGCCCCTAAGGAACGGAGCTTAGAGTCTACCTCCTATTTCAGTGCACGTGGTCAGGACCACGGAACACCCTAGGCCAGTGATGGCGAACCTTTTGAGCTCGGCGTGTCAGCATTTTGAAAAACCCTAACTTAACTCTGGTGCCGTGTCACATATAGAAATTTTTTGATATTTGCAACCATAGTAAAACAAAGATTTATATTTTTGATATTTATTTTATATATTTAAATGCCATTTAACAAAGAAAAATCAACCAAAAAAATGAGTTCGCGTGTCACCTGTGACACGTGTGTCATAGGTTCGCCACCACTGCCCTAGGCAGCTGAAGGGTCCGGCACCTTCAGCTACAGGTGGGCCAAGCTGGCGCATTGCTCCAGGGTCCAGCCGATCTGAGAGCAGGAAGTCCCCTGGTGCTCCATCCTCTACAAATAGCTGAGTGATTGCCACATGCTGGGCACCATTCTAAGTGTTAGAGATAAAATAGAAGGGACCACCCTGCCCCTGCTCTAGCAAAGACACCGAACTCCAGTGCTATAAATGCAAGAAATGAGGTGATGTCGTGAGTTACTAGACCAAGCGAGGTGGTCAGGGTGGAAAGCCTTCAATCTCGGGAAACCCGGAGCTGGCCAGGCAAAGATTGGGTTGGAAGCAGGAGCCCTCTGGGCAGAGGACAGCTGCCTGCAGGTCGTAATGTGGGCTGCACTACGAAAAGGGGCTGGGCGGGCCAGGTCAGAGTGCAGAGGTCACAGGCCAGGTAGGTGCTGGGTCGTATGTCGGGGTCCTCTTCAGCCAACGGTAGGAAGAGAAGCGAATCCAGAGCAAGGTGGGATGACATTGAGGGACGCATCAGGGTGTGAATGTTCCGGTCTCGGTTCGAGAAGACCCCTCCGGCTGAGCGAGAACAGGTCTGGGGAAGGGGCAGGAATGGGAGAGAAGCTGCTGGAGGGCCTGGCGTAGCTTAGTGGGGAGGTCACGTGGCTTCCCCACATGGCCTCAGGGATGCGTCCACGCTGAATGGGTTTTAGACATAAAGCCGAGCGAGGCTTGTTCCTAGGTTGGTGCAGACGGTGAGACTCCAGGTGACGCCCATCTTAAACCTGATGGCTGGGAGAATGGGTCAGGACAAAACCCCAAGAAGGGGCCATTGCAGAGCTGAAGTGTTGTTTTTTTAATGTTTTTATTGACTTCAGAGAGGAAGGGAGAGGAAGAGATAGAAACATCAATGGTGAGAGAGAATCATTGATTGGCTACCTCCTGCACATCCCACACTGGGGATCCAGCTGGCATGTGCCCTGACCTGGAATCAAACCCAGGACCTCCTGGTTCATAGGACAATGCTCAACCACTGAGCATGCCAGCCGGGCCTGAGCTGAGTTTTGAGGGCTCAGCAGGAGTTGGCAGGAAGAAGGGGTTCTTATTGCCCCTTTCCCCCTGGAGGTGGCCCGGGTACAGGGAGCACTGTGCCAGGCGAGCCGGTCCCAGGCCGGAAAGCAGCTGATGGAGCGAGAAGACATCCCACTTGTTTTCCTGTCCCTCCAGGACGAGATGGCCTTCTGCTACACCCAGGCGCCCTACAAGACCATCTCCTTGGTCCTCGACACCCCCCGGGTCTCCAACCTCGAAGAATTCCCCATGAAATACTCCCTGGTGTGGGGCTCGGTTTGGCTGGTCTGAACTCGGTCCCACCTCTCAGGCCTGCTGCCTGCCCAGAAACGATGGGGTGCCAGGGGAGAGGGCCCAGGTGGCCTCGGGGGGCAGGGGTGTGGGGGTCTACCCGAGAGACTGGATTAGGGGTCAGACTGCGGCTTAAAGCCCACCCCTCCTAACACCCCTGCCCCGGCTGGGTCTCCTTCCAGAGCCCGGGGATTGGCTACGTGACCCGACCCACCGAGGACGGTAAGGTGATCACTATGGATTCCATTGGGAACCTGATGGTGTCCCCACCCGTCGAGGTCAAAGGGAAAGAGTACCCTCTCGGCAGGATCCTCATTGGCGGCAGCTTTTACCCCAGGTGAGGGAAGAGGTCAGGTGGCGGCTCGATGCCTTCAAACTAAAGGAAGGGACCCTGGTGGTTCACCTGGCTCTGTCTGACCCCCACGTGACTCAGCCAGTCACCTAACCCTTATCCTCTCACGTGAGGATTGTGAGCCTGCCAATCTCAGGAGACTAACAGGAGGAAAAGCAGACAAATGACTCATTGAGTGGGGGTCCCGGGTTCAAATTGCAGCCTGCTAAGCTCGGCTGGCCTGTGACCCCACAGGATGGCCTACTGACTCCACAAGACGGGCCTCCAGGTGGCCGCCCTCCAAGCTAGACTTCTTGGTGGCCGTTCATCCAAAGCCAGGAAACGCTGTGTCCCAGGGTCTAGTCTTGGTTCTAGACTCTCTTGGCTCAGTCCCGAGTTGGGCCAGAGTGAGGGATTCTTAATCGCCACCCCTCCCCCTATGGGCCAGTCGCTCGAGCCCCAGGGTTAGAACAGCCGGTTCCCTGAAGGCAGCCTGGCATGTGCGAGCAGTTGGCAGCCCACGTGGGCCACGCGGGCTCAGAGGCTGTGCCTTCCTCCTCCCTTTAGCAAGGAGGCCCGGGACATGAGAAAGGACCTCCGGGACTTCCTCTACGCCCAGCAAGTCCAGGCCCCGGTGGAGCTCTACTCAGACTGGCTGATGATCGGCCACATGGACCAGTTCATGTGCTTCGTCCCCACGCAGGTCAAGGGTGAGGGCGACAAGGTCTGTGCCGGGACTGCACGGGTGGGGGGGGGGGGGAAGGCCGGGGGAGCTTCCACCTGCTTTTGGAGACCCTTGGAAGCTTCTGGAGGGGACGCTGGCCTCTGACCCTCGTTCTGTCTCCCAGGGCTTCCGGCTGCTCCTGGCCAGCCCCCGCTCCTGCTACCAACTCTTCCAGGAGAAACAGGAGGAGGGCTATGGGGACATGGCCCTGTTCGAGGAAGTGCGGGAGGACCAGCTCCTTTCTAACGGTAAGGCGACAAGCCGGCCCTTCTTCCCCAGACGTCCTTTCTGGAGAGTCATTTTACTTTGTCTTTCCTGGTAGAGAAGTTCCCAGGGAAGCATGAAAGCATCGCGTGGACTGTGTTAGAACATCCTACTCCAGTGCAGGGCTATTCTGGCGGGCGGTACAGGGACGGCACAGGCAGATCCGGAAGTTCTGGGACGTCTGAGGCTGCTAGGATGAGGAGGGGACTCGATCAGCAGGCGGATGGCTCAGGGTGGGGGTGGGAGGAGACGGATCAGATGCTGACTGCAGTCTCCGGAACTATTCAGGGATTGTCAGGTTAAGTACCTGGGCACTGGGACTTCAGGGGTCTCCTGGCCGCCCCTAAGGAAGACATAAGCGGACCAGCAGGGATGGTGTGGCTGGGGCCGGGGCAGGCCTGTTCTAAACGTGTGGGGGCCCGGGATGGGGTGGGGCGCTGGGAGTTCTAGACCAGCAGTCCCCAACTGGTGGAGGTCTGACAGGTTGGCAACTGCTGCCCTAGACCCTTGCGATGCCTGAGGGCCCCCTGGGTGCCTGTTAGAAATGCAGAATTTCGGCCCCGCTCTACACCTCAATTTGGGGGAGGGGCCCAGGAATCTCACCCTCCTAGAAGGTGACCCTTGCAGAGCATGAGCCGCATATCACACACCACACGCTGAACGCTGGTACCCCAACTGAAGTTCCTGAAGATGAGGCACTGGAGGAGCAAAGTTAAATAACTTGGTCAAGGGTCAAGGTCCCAGGTAGAAGGTGGCCCGGTTGTACGGGCCACAGAAAGCACGGAGGTGCCCAGGTACAAGGTGCATGGGGCTGAAGTCACCTGCTAACCTGTCTTAGGCTGCCTCCCCCAAAGCAGGGACTCCCCATCCGACCAGGGACAGAGTGGCCGGTGGCAGTAAAAGTCCTGCCTGGGTTTTCATGGACCCAGGTGTGACCTTTGACCTCGGCGGGTCCCTGGAGACTAGCCAGGCCAACCACACTAGTCACTGGCCCAGGAATACACCCCGTTGGCTGTGCTCAGGGCTTGAGTCTCCCCAGCCCTGGACAGCGTTGCCTGCCCCCTGGCCTACAGGCCCACCTGCCTTCTCCTTCCTCCAGGGAGGGAGGCCACTACCATCAATCAGCTTCTGGATGATGACGACATGAGGAAGCAGAACGACTATGTGGAGGTAGGAGCCGGGAGTCAAGGATGTGAGGGACCTGCTCCAGAAAGTGGGGGAGGCACTGGCGATCTAGACAGGCTCCTAATTGAGCAACTACTAGAGCCCAAGCATCATGCATAGCTATGTTTCTGTAATCCTCGAAGTCACCCTGTGAAGTCAAACCCATCTTGTGTATGACGGCTCAGCGTAAGGTCACGGGCCTAAGCTGATGAGTTGGGTACTGGGTTTGAACCCACAGGACTGCCAAGTTCATGCTGCATCCACTGTTACTCAGTGTCTGACCAGAAAACGGTGCTGTAGCTCGGCGCCTCCGGGCAGAGGCCCCCCTGCCCTGACTTCCCTAAGAGGCTGAGTACCAGAGGCTTAGGAACAGACCAGGGCCTTCTCAATGCTCGGGCCCATCAGCTCGCTGTTCAGAATCACCCAGCACCTCGGATCTCTGGAAATGAGGACTGTGGGCTGCGAGAAGCATTGGGGGGCGGGGAGGGGGAGTTCCCAGGAGAGATTACCTAGCTTCTGGAAGAAGGGCAGAGTTGCCCGGGGTCACATGGTCAGCACAAAACTGCTTTGGCCCACTGGGACTTCATGGCTCCTGACAAAGGCGTATTCAGAGCCACGGTGCACTGGTGCCCTGACCTTTGCCAAAACAGGGAGGGAAGGCTTCCTGGCACAGCAGGGGGGGTGCCGGCCGGGTATGGGGTCAGAACAGCCCTGGACAGTGTCCTGGGTAGTGTCCAGGAGCCCTGCGTCAGACCAGGGAGATGCTCAGGTGTTGGGCAGCACCAGGTCTGAGCTGGGCAGTGCCCGTGTGGGGACCACTGCTCCCGTCCTTCCTAAGGCCCCTCAGCTTCCTGCCCTTGCCCAGGTCCCCCACCCTGGCCAGGCCTGAGGGCCAAAGGGGACCATGCTACAGAATCAGGACTAGTAGCTGCCTCAGGGTGACAGGCTCTGAGATCCTGGCCTCCCAAGATCAGGCCTTGACTCCCACACACAGCAGCGAGTGATGGAAAGGTGGGAGCTACTTGAGGCCACTCCCTCCATGTGGTGAGCTCACTCCCCTCCCGGCCCACCCACCCGCCCGCAGAAGTGCATTAACCTGAACCGAGACATCCTGAAGCGGGAGCTGGGCCTGCTGGAGAGGGACATCATCCACATCCCACAGCTCTTCTGCTTGGAGCAGCTGAGCAACGTGCCCGCCACAGAGCAGACGGAGAAACTCTACGCCAGGCCCTACTTCCCCAACCTGGTGAGGCATGGGGTGGGCTGGCTGCCCCCCTGGGTGGGGGTGGGGGGCTGTTCAGCCAATTGGCTGGTCCCCTGACATACATGGTGCTGAGAGAAGGTGGAGGGAGGACCCGCCCCCCCCTCACCCCTATGGGAGCAGTGAGTGGGGCCCAGGCTGGGTGACTTGCCAAGCAGTGACCATGGGCTTGGCTCTGGGCTCATCCCCAACCTTAGGGTAGTCACTACACAGCCACCTTACCAGGATGCTGTGCTACCACCAAACTCGAAGGGGCCAGGCAGCTGCTGGCTGAGACAGGAGGGCGGGTGGCCAGCTCCCGAGATGGGTTCTTCCTGCCAACATAGCCTGTGATCAGGGCAGCATCTGGAACGGGAAGTGTCCACTCCAGGGAGCACTGCTCCTATGTAGACTAGGAGTTGAAGTTGGGGGTGTGCGTGTACATGAGCCCCTGCTGGGCCAAGCCTAGGGCACCCCTGGCCTAGACCTGGCCTTTCTCATACAACGGCAACCCGCCATGTGGACACTGTGCATCCTTTCTCAGACGTGTGGGCTGATTAATTCCTTTAACACTTGCCTCTCCTCTGAGACCCAGGGACACACGGGGACCTGTTAATTTGATAAGACCCATGTGGCCCTCTGGGCATGACACAGGAGCCGTTCTAGACCTCGGGAGTAGGTGCAGGCCGTGGGAGTTGCTCTAAGGCCGTGGTCGGCAAACTGTGGTTCGAGAGCCATATGCGGCTCTTTGGCCTATTGAGTGTGGCTCTTCCTAAGCCTTAGGAGTACCCTAATTAAGTTAATAACAATGTACCTACCTATATAGTTTAAGTTTAAAAAATTTGGCTCTCAAAAGAAATGTCAATCGTTGTACTGTTGATATTTGGCTCTGTTGACTGATGAGTTTGCCGACCACTGCTCTAAGGGGAAAGATGCTAGCGTTGAGATGTAACAAATGGACAGTCCAGGAGAGGGAGGCAAGACCGACGCAGACAGGACTGAAGGCCAGAATAACAGATCAGGGACGGGAACCAGGGAAGTTGGCGAAGCCAGACTTTGGCCAGGCAGGGTTTTGGGCGGGGCCGTGGGAGGCTCAGGCAGAAGTGAGCTGGACCTGCCATTGACTGGCGATGTCTGCATGAACGCAGGCCTGGAGAAGGGCCGGGTATGTGCCTGCTATTGCTGGTCTAGTCAGCCCGCGGCAGCCGGGTGTTCCCTTGCATTGAACCCAGTGGCGCCTTCTTCCATGGCGCCAGCCCACCCAGGCCTTGCCCATCCTGTCTGACAGCTGCAGATGATTGTGATGGGCAAGCACCTGGGCATCCCCAAGCCTTTTGGGCCCCAGATCAAGGGCACCTGCTGCCTGGAAAAGAGGATCTGCCAGTTGCTGGAGCCTCTGGGCTTCAAATGCACCTTCATCAACGACTTTGACTGCTACATGACCGAGATCGGAGACTTCTGTGCCTGCGCCAACGTCCGCCGCGTGCCCTTTGCCTATAAATGGTGGAAAATGATGCCTTAGACCCGGCCTAGTGCTGCCAGCCCTGCCTGCCCCTCTATGGGGGGGGGGGGGGGGGAGAAGGGGGAGCCTGGAGAGTTGAGAAACCCCCTTCTTATCCTGTTCCCCATCCCTCAGAATCCAGTGGGGCGGCAAATGCTTTGGGTAGAGAGGGGAACTCTTCAGCTGAGAAGTGGTTACTAGCTGCCCATTAAAGTTCTAGTTCTGAGTGCATCCTGGCAGTGGCTGCCTTGTTTTGGGAAGGATAACGGCTCAGGATGGAGCGGAGCAGCTGGGACATCTGGGTGAGGCTGCCCCACGTGACGGGGCTGACACGTGGCTGTGTGGACCCCATCCTGTCTGTAGTGGGAAGTGGTAGGAATCCGATGGTTTGAATTCTCTAGTGAAAGCATGAGGCCAGCCAGGTCTGGAAGCTTGAGCTTGATGGGCTGGTCCAGGCTGGGGGAGGGAGGGCTCCTGCAGAGCCGGGGGAGGCCCAGCCATGGAGGGCGGTACCTGCCTCAGGAGCAGCAGCTTCGCCACAAGGGCTCTGGTCTCCTTGGGGTCCGCAGGGGTAGCCTGAGGGACAAGGTACAGCAAGGGCAGCCCTGGGACCTGGAGCCGCCTATTCCCAGCAGCCATCTGTGTTAATGGCACAAGGATGCTATTAAAGCAAGTGGTTCTGAGAACCTATAAGCATGGCTGTCCCCACCCTGCCCCTCCCAGTGATGGGAAGCTGCAAGCAGTCTGGGCACTTGGAACAGGGGCCACAGCTCCTGGAAAGGGCGAGTCTGATGATGTAGAACAGCCAGTCTCGAGGGCTCCGTGAACGGGTGAGCAGTGTTGAGATGTGGTGGCTGCAGGGGTCTGGTGGATGGTGTGGGGTAGGCTCAGCCGTGTAGGCCTGGAGCAGCAGCCTGAGCAGAACAGAAACTGCCCAGGGCCTCTGCACACACACCTGGCCTCCTGGTGGGCTGCTGGGCGAAGGGGCACATTTGTGACCAGGCTCCCTTTTGAAGCGTTGGTGGGAAGGGTGAGAAGTGACTAGGCGCTTGGGCACACACAACATACCCATGTCCTGGTACTTTCCGTGCCCGGCATCCTCACAGCCCCAATGCGGTACCTACAGAATCTCCTGAGTCTGGGCAAGTGAGGTGCTGACCCTGCCCCCTCCCCAAGGAACAGTGGGGAGCTCCACACACCTCCCAACCCCCCTGTGGTCTAAGCCCAGAAGCGAAAAGGGGCCGCTGCCCTGGCCTTGCCCCCCTGGCGGGAGCCTCCGCTCGGGCAGTTGCAGGAGGTGTGTGCAGAGAAAAACAGGTGATCACGTTCTTACCTTTGTTCCACTGAAAAAGAAGCGCAAAAGCCAAAACAGAGTAAACAATGATGTTGTTTATTTAAAATGTTTACTCCAAGAAATATATATAAAAAAAATAAGACAATTACAGCACTAAACCAGGCACCTTCGACCAAATCACAACCTCCTCAGGTTCCCCTTCACTCTAAGCCTCTTCCCAATTCTCCTTCCTGCGCTGGAAGACATGGCACGCGCCCCCGGGTCAGCGCCAAGCACTCACCGAGCCGCGTCCCTTCCCCTGGAGCACGGGGCCACCCCTCCTGTTCTACAGGGTTTCCTGGTAGGAAGTTCACCTTAAACTCAGCGAAAGGAGTGATTGGGGGAGAGGAGACCGTCTTCAGCGGAAGGCAGTCCCTTTCCTGCTCCGGCCCCTGCGAGGGCTCTAGAACGGGCTGGTGGTGGCCTCCGCTCAGTCCGCTGGACCGTGGAAGCCCAGCGTGGCCAAGAGCGGCTCCCGCACTCAGTGCCTATGGGCCCGAGGGGAGCTGTGCAGGTCTGAGGAACACGGGCACCGAACCCCACTCCAAGAGACTTGTCAGGGAAAAGGGCTCCACATGAGGAAGCTTGAGTTAGAGATGGTTTCGGGGTGATTTGGACAAATCAGGTTAGTTTAGCAGAAGCTTCTCCCGGGACTGGCTGGACCCAGGACAGCGGAGATGAGCAGGAAGTGAGACTGAGTCTTGGCCACAGGCCGGCTCCTCACGCCCGGCCCGGGACAGACACAGGCCCTGTGAGGGCAGACGCCACAGCGAGGAGCGGAGGACAAGCAGGGGAAAAGCAACAACCGGATCATTTTTGGCATTTTAACATCAAGACAATGACAAGTGGTAACAATAGCAAAACAAAATCAAAGACCAATATTTAACTTTCCCATCCACCCGAGTCTCACGCTGAAGTTCTATCCCCATCTCCCCCAGAAGCACCACTGAACTAAAAAACCTATTTTAAAGCACCCAAACCAGTCCAGACCCTCTTGAAGCCAAGAGCCCCAGGCAGCGCTGTCGCCTCTCTTGGGTCCCAGTGAGAGGAGGGTTCCGGGAAAGGCACCTCAGAGCTCACGCAGAGCAGCCACCGCGGGACGAGCTGGGCACAGGTGCCTGGCGGGAGGCAGCTGGCAGTCTCAGCGTCTGCGCTGACGCGGGGACGGGACTTCTGCATCATCCCATCTATTTGGTACCACAGCCAAGCCAACGTGACTAGAGCTGGGTTAGCAGAACTGGAACCCGAGTCTCAGACACAGCCCGGGCTGTTGCAGCGGAATCCAGCGGCGGGGGCAGGGGCGGGGTGTGATAAAAACAAGCACAAAGGCGCTAGAGGCTGGTACACAGGGCAGGTCCTTTGCAAGGACTCAGAATGCACTTTTCTCAGCTGGCAGATCAATCTCTAATGGCGAGCGCTGCGAGGCGGCCCTGGCCCCGCAGAGGAACCTTAAAGCTGGTTCTTGAACCAGATACTATGTCCCCACGGCGGGCCCCCCGGAGCCGCATGGTTCCATGGTCACCTGATTTGTCACTAGGACTTCATGTACAGATAAAGTAGATATAAATGGCTAAACACATACCCCAGAGCCCCCACCAGGGGGGAAACGGCAGATTCTATTAATGTTGCAGCCAAGAGGCGGGGCTTACAAGCAGCCGCGGGGAGGACGGAACCCAGGCGGCCAGAGTCACTCTCAAAGCGGAAGGAAGTGACCCAGATGCTTCCTAAGCACGTGGGTCTGGTTTCGGATGGAGATGGACCACCGGGGACCCTCTGCCAACAATGCTGCCCGTGAGGGACATTGTTTTCTGAGCAAATGGCGATCCTCCCCCAGGTGGCGCCCGCTCCGATCACAATGCTAATTACAATGGAAAGGAGAGAGTTGTGAGAAGTCTATCTGAGGGGGTGGGGAAGAGAAAAACTTTAAAAAAAAAACCTGGGTTGCTCAAAGTTTCCGCCTCTTGTAGGAATGGTAAGTCAACTATGAGCAAATACTTTAATCAAACATGGAGAAAAAAACACTTTGGAAAGCATACAGAAAAGGTAGTTGATGTTGAATCACTTCTAAACGGAACCTCAGGGAGTCTAACAAAAATGCACCTCCGATCAACTTCTCCTTTAAATTCCTCGTCTGACGTCCGTCCCAGTGCACGTGGAAATGACAGCTGCCGCGAGAGGGGGAGCGGAGGCCCCGGGGCAGTCAGAGGGTGCGCGGGTTATACTCTGGCAGCTTCTTGATCTTCTCTTTCTCAGTCTCACTCTCGTCTCTCGCTATCACCAGGGAGTGCGAGTAGCCCATGGCAACCTGGGGGGACAAATCAGACTTGGGTGTGCCAGGGCACTTGGGCACTCAGGCGTGTCACTGAGTCTGGAGCAGACAGACACACAGACAACAGGACACTAGCCAGCTGGAAGGGTAAAGGTGGACAATGGATCAATGTGAAGGAAAATGGAGTATGCCAGAAGTGCTTTAAAATCCTATACTCAGGGCCACCGGTCTCAGTGTGGCCTGTCACCAACCAGGCTGCCCGAGGAGAGAGGGAGAGACCCACTGAGCAGGGGCTGGCGGGGACACTCGGATCACGCTCCCCGTTCTGCCCGCCTCTCTGGACCACAATCTGTCTGTGTGAGGTGCACCCACCATCCGTCTTGGCACAGAGCCGGCAGCTGGTAGACCTAACAGGGAGAAGGGGCCTCACCCCACCACCAGCCCCATCCCAAGGGGGTGCGGTCTTGGGGGCAGCCACAGGCAGCTGTGAGATGGCCTCGCCCTGGAGCCTGGCCGTGGTGCCTCTGAGTGCCTGCTGATGGCTGTCACCCTCAGAGAATGCCAGCACAAGCACATGCAGAGACCACAAAGGGGAACAGGAAGGCGCGAGCTGGCACATCCCTCCGCTACCAGCGCCTCCTGCTTGCACAGGCAGTGTCGGCGGTGCGCGCTCACCTGCTCCGTGAAAACGCCGTCCAGGGTCTTCACCTCCTGCGCGGCGGTGGAAGACTTGGGCTTGTGGTCCCCGTAGCCCTGGCGAGGAAGCAGAGGAGACGCTCAGAACCGCGTCACTGTGGCGAGGCCCGACATGGGAAGAAGGCAGCCCACCAACCAGCACCAGAGCTGGCGGGCTCTGTGACCGAACCCCACTGCTCAGCCGGGGCCAGGCCGAGGTAGCAGAATGTACCCACAAAAGCTGCCACCAACACGGACTGGTTCTTGAAGACGGACCCTAAACTGTAGCCTGTGGAGACGTGTGTGATGACAAGTGCCTTTTGGGGCGCTCACTGGTGAGACAACACCCAGGAGAAACGGCACTGCAGCCCTCAGGGCTGCGAGGTCACAGGGAATGCCGGCTGCCGCCCTGCCCAACCTGCGGGCTGAGACCAAATAACCGGAATTATTAGGAATGACACCACGGTTCCTACCAGGGACCAAAGGGACTGGTCAAGGCCTGCTAGGCTGGGCGGGGGGGGGAGAGTGCCATGTGCAGAGGCTCGGGATGGTGGTCTCAATGCTGCAGACCCGCAGCTCAGCTCTAACGGGAACACGCAGGCGGGTGAGGAAGGGCCTCCCTCCAGCGGGTAGCTCCTCGAGTGCCAGGCCAGCGCCTCACCCTGAGAGGCTGCCCCAAAGCCCCTCATTCCCCTCTAGTTGTTTTTTTCTTTTTCATGTATTTTTATTGATTTCAGAGAGGAA